TAGTTACAGACAGAGAAGGGGAGGAGGGTGTGGAATGTCAACGAGAGGAAGGGAGAGGGAGGTCTGCCAAAAAATGTGGGTTGCAAAGCTACAACAAGGGAGATGGGCGTGGATTGGCAGGGATGGGAAGGGAGGAGGAAGGGGTGTGGAACCCCTGCCACCACCAGGCACCACAACTGCGTCAAAGGTTTGCGTGTTGAATTTCACATCAAGGGCATCTCCCTATAACCTAGGAGCTTGGTTTGGATCGGGCAATTCCGGAGGCCCTGCCATCGAGGTTAGTCTGAAGCGATTCCTATCTTAATAACTTATTGCATGTCAAAATCTGCTTCAAATTTGTGATTTAATATAATTGGGCTTTAGAAAGAAAAAAATTCATGGTTTTGTCTAATCCAATTGAATGATTAGAAAAATTTTCATTAAATTTCTGGGTTCCTGGGGGGTTCTAAATCGTGATGTTGAGAGAGCTTGGTTGCTTTAATTGCTAATGAAATTTGCTTCTAAACGTTCATAATATGCCTTTTTTATGTTCGTTCTATATTTTCTTTGAGTTCAGATAAATATATATATATATATATATATTGTGATATATTGCTGATGCCAAAATATCATATTTACAAGGACAAAGATAGCAAGGTTCTAAATCAAATTTTTATCCTGGTTCGGCTGCTGGGTTCACTATCAGTAAAAGGCACATGAAATATGGTATTGATTTGAGAGCCTTTGATTTCTCAGACTGTCTTCATATATTGATTGTCATCTTAATTTAATTGTAGTTAATTTGTCAAAGTTTATTGTTGTTTAGCTTTTTCAAATGGTAGCCTTAGTATTTGCCCAGTATTTTCTATGAATTCCAAACTTTGCTTATAATTGTAGGTACGTAAAAGCTGCCAATTGGATTTGTTCCCCAGATGATAATGGCATACTAATATAATGGTTGTTCTTTTGCTTTGATGTAGTAGTAAGAAGATTGTTTTGCCCCTTATGTATCCTGCTTCTTTCTGTTCCACAAAGTTGCCAAGAAAAAATGTATTTTGTGATCGTTTTCTTTCTTATGGTGATGTGCAGATAAAATCTATCTTTTTTTCTTTGTATCAGCAACCTATTACCCATTCATGATCATGTTCAGTTAAGAAACTTTTGATTTTTCTTCTGTTTAATTTCTCATCCGATAGGTTTGATGCGAAAATTATCTTAACACACAAATTTAACCCTCTTTTGACAATTGTAGTACAAGTATAAGTAGGGATCGTTCTGGACCGGGGATTAGGAAGGCTTGCTAATAACCTCTAAACTGACTCAAAAACATAAAACTAAACTTAAAAACACTTAACAAGACTCACAAGACTCAAAGCCAACTTAAAATACTCAAAACAGTTTAAAACAACCAAATAAACTTAAACTAGACACTTGGAATGACTTTGGACGAAAATTGACTTTTACTTAAATCAAAACACTTAAAAACACAAACTAAAACAGATTTGAAACACTTTGAAACAAGAAACTAAAAGGGGGGTTTTGATTTGGATGAAGTTGAAACAAACAAACAAGTATGAAAAACTAGACGGATTGTAAAACGAATGTGAGAAATAAGATGATGGATGAGATAGCTAGAGGCCTTTTCTCCACATATGACATGTATGCAAATAACTTGATTTCCAGTTACTACTTCATTAAATTGTGAACGACAATGCTCCAAATTAACCATGACATCACTAGTTAACTCTCAGATTTTCCTTGTTTTATTGGATTGGATGACATCATTCGACAACCCAAAACATTCTTCTAAAGTTCCTTACATGACATCATAATAGAGATACAATAAAAAATCATTACGTTTAATGAAAATCATAAGCATTGACAAAACACTTGCAACTATGACATCATGTCACTCATGCTAGGAATTGAACTTAACGCGATCGTTTATAAGCGACCTTCACTACATGTGAATATAAGTTTGTAACGATTATGTGAAACTTCCTTATATTCTAGCAACGGATTTATGCATGCCAATTAAGTGTCGACCCTTAATTAACAAATACAAATAAGTTATCAATCAAATAGTTAAGCCAATTGCATTCACGATTCAAGAGTTCATAACTGGAATTTATCAAATTATATTGCACACATAATCATGGCTTTGAAATCACCCTTAGCCAAGAGGGGTTTAGCCACTCATATTTACAACAAAACGAAAGGAAATGAATTTAAACATTACAAACAAAAGAAAGAAAACACCTAAACGCTCTAACGATCCAAGTTGGACAGCAAGCACGTCCAAGCACTTTCCTTCCCTTCCTTTGTTACGGCACAAGGTGTTGGTGAGTGTTTGAAGGCTTGTTTGTATGGAGGAATGGATGTGTTGAAATGGGAGTGAATGATCTAACCAAGTATGAACTAAATTTATGTTACACACACTTCCTTTTATAGAGGAAGTGCATGGCAATGGAAGGGAACATGGAGTGGTGTAGCAATTGAGTGCAATGATGCAATGTAATGATGCATGAAATCTGAAATGATGGAGGGAACAAGGAATGGTGTAGCAATTGAGTGCAATGATTCAATGTAATGATGTATGAAATCTGAAATGATTGAGGGAACAAGGAATGGTGTAGCAATTGAGTGCAATGATTCAATGTAATGATGCATGAAATCTGAAATGATGGAGGGGACAAGGGTGATTATGCATGGCATGGGTGGAAAGGTGAGTAAGTGGTGAATCAATGAGTGCAAGGAGGTGAAAGGATATTGTGCACATGGTAGACAAAGGAAAGAAAGTGGAATGATGCAACAAATGAGTCAATGGAGGGAACATGGATGATGATGCACAACATAGGAATCCAAAGGGAGTGCAATGGTGATGCACGGCAATGATGAAATGGTGAATGGTGGAGTGACACCCTTGTGTGGCTGAGCTCTTTGTCCTTTTTACATTAATTCTTCTTTCTCTTTAACACATTCCTAACCTTTTTAGTCTTCAATTTCGTCCATCCACCTTGCTCCATGCATGTGCTATTCATTCCAAGCCCAAAACTGCTCCAAAATGCACCAAAATGCATCTTATTGCTTTATAAGGCCTATGGACCTATAAACACACGAAAATAGCTTAAAATACATAATTAACTAAGAAATAACAACATAAATGCATGAGAACAAGCTAACTCAGTCGCATAAATATGCTCATATCAAGGTTCAATATTAATAGAGTCCAATTAACATCCACATTGGAATGACAATTGTGAAATGCAATGACATACTTCTAATTCCATTCTCATTAATTGTCTCAGTAACAATCAAGAATTGAATGACATGTTTCTCATTGTTTGTTTCTGTTACAGATATACAAATGATGATGAAAGCTTTTTGTCACTGGTCTTTGGAGAAACAGAGGCATGCATATGAAAGATGTCATCAAAGCGAGTAGTCAATTAACAGTTGCCAATTGATATTAGGTCTTAAATATAATTTTAGCTTTCATTTTTTTATAAATTAAAACTTTTTTACAGAGTTTTATTTTTATGTAAGATGGGTGAAATATAATTTTTCTTTTTATTTTTGTAATATTACTTTGATTTGCAGATGTGTCATTGCAGCAATACCAGATATATTTTCAATTTAAACAACATCCTATATATTTTCATACTGCATGTCATGCTGGTAACCTCAAACAGATATGTCAAACATTTTTTTATCTAAATTGTTGTAGTGTTTCCATTTTTTGGTGCAGAGCTCCACAATTGGCTATCGTGAATCCTGGTATCTTCATATGCATGCAATGTTCAGGGATCCACAGGAGTATTGGGGTACATATATCAACGTATAATTTTCGGTTATGCAAAAACTTCAAATTCGTTTTATTATTTGTATGGTACTCAATTCCATATTTTATGCATTATGCTAATGAGTTTCGGTTCTATTTTTTCCTGCATTATTTTGATGATTTGGATGTTTTTGTAGGTGAGATCTGCCACTTTGGATACATGGGTCCCAGAGCAGGTTGCATATATCCAATGTAAGTACCAATGCTGTTTTCCATTTTGGTAGTAAGGTCATATCTCTGTCTAGCAAGGTCATGCTGAGAGTGAGAACACCAAGGGCACAGTCTCTTACCCTCACTGACCCACATTAAAAAAGAGGCACATTATGTTTGCACCCTATTTTCGCCTATCTCTGTAAATTTAGGTATTTTTTAGGAAACTTTAACGAAAAGCTCCCGGTACTGTTCACTTTAACGAAAAACCATATTTTTACACTAAAAAGTCAATCCTGGTACTATTCACTTTACCCTTTATTTTGTCCTTATCATTAAAACTCAAAGTTTTCAAGCCCTTTTCATTAGTTTTCCTTATTTTTTACCCTTTTTTTTTTTTTTTTGTTAAGCTTTCATCTTGCTGTAAATTTAGGTGTTTTCTCTCTGTGTTGGTCCATCTGCTTATACTTTTCAAATGTTGGTTCATCTTATGCAAATATTGATATGCTTAACAGCCTACTGCATATGTGCAATGGAGCACCACAAATTTCTCTACATTATGGTTGTTAGGACAATGGATTAGGTTGCAGGATAAATTTGTCCTCGATGAAGGCACTCCACCCTATATGTATTCCTTTGCAAGATGGATGATGATCTCATCTTTCAATCTTTCTGGTTTCTCTATTTATAATTTAATTCGCTAGATGTGGATGATGTTTATTAGTTATTGTTCTTACTTTTCACTTCAGCAGAAACCCCCGATTCATTTTATAGTTGTTTCAATTAATTTGGAAGTTCAAGTTCTCTCTCTCTGTTTTTTTTTTCACTGGATTTGATTTGATTGTTTTTGTGATAGGTTGAGAATGTGAAAGTTCTGCTGGAGGTGGAGGTGAGATATTTAATTTAATTCATGATTTATCGTTTTTTTTTTAAACTTTGTTTTTGTGGAATTGTGCTGCTGGATTTACTCCATTTAGCAGTTTACATGTTTTCGTATATTTATTTATTTCATTTCTTTTGTTGCAGCCATGTCTGTCGTAGAAGATAGATTATGGAACATTGTGAGGGCCAATTCCTTGGATTTCAATGCCTGGACTACTTTAATTGAAGAGACAGAGAGTGTTGCAGAGGTGCATTAGCTGGATTTTTGAGTCATTGGATGAATCCTTTGGGTGAGTGTGAATCATCTGAGATTGCAAAAGATAAGGTTTTGCTGAAAAATTGTTGTTATTTAAATATGAATCATATGAGGTTGCAAAACTGTGAACTTAACTGTACCTTCTACATGTTCTTAGATATTTCTGTGATCGTCAGCTGCCTTAGCATACCATAGTCTGCCCATGGTTTCGTATTAGTTGGTAATATGAAAATAGATGTGTTTGAAATAGGTGTAGTTTATCTGTATAATCTTAGATCTTACTTTTTGTAATTTTATGTGGCATGACAGATGATATCTAACCTTTAGTCAATAATAGTAGTGAGACAGTGAGGAAAGGAGGATTCCAAACTGGTAACTCAGTCTGCCTCTCTATATTATGGAAATGGTAATATGCGATAAATTTTGTGGTTACTCAATGATATTGTTGTTCTTATAAGTGAAATTTTTACTTGGTGTTTGCAATCAAAATGGTGTTTGCCCCAACTCTTGCTGTCAGAATCTACTAACTATTTGAATATGCTTCATACATTTACTTGGCAGTTCTTTTTTAACTAACAAATTGCTCTACGTTTATATGCAGAATTTCCGTTACGTTATGGTTATTGGAAAAAGTATGCAGATCATGAGGAGGGCACATAGGGTGTAGGGGTTTCGCGCAGCCGGGGGTGGGGGGTCCAGTGAATTGCAGAGCTGCTCAGTTCTTCCTATTTAAGATGAGTTCAATCCCTAGCTTAATTCTTTAAAAACATCTAATTTCATGTTTCCTTTCCATTCTGATTCCGACAGCATGTTTGGGATAGGTTACGGTTGAAATTTTGGTTTAATCTGCAATTAATTATCCGTACAAGCATCAGTTTTGATTACGTTTTCAATTTTTGCTTTAATCTATAATTGATTCTCCATGCAAACATCGGTTTTTGTATTTGAGACACTGTATTAGCGTCATTCAAAGATATTTTAAGACTAGGCCGGGCTCATGAATTGAAGAAATTTTGGGGTTTGTTTCTTCACTAATTTCGTGTAATTTGAGAATTCAAATGGTTAACTTTTGGAGCTGAAATTTTGGGTGATTTGAGTTGAACATGTAGGAGAGTGCAAATTTTTTCATGCGGAGGTATTCCTCATTTTGGCTTAAGGTACTGAAACAGGAGATGTTTTCTGTTGGAGAAAATATCACAGCGTAGAGGAAAATTAGGTTTTCTTTTGCAATTTGCACCACCAAAATATGTATGACTTATTCATCTTTGTACGGTTGTCTATGTAAAAATATATTGTGACCTCTTTACATTTGTTTCTCCTTCTGCAGTTTTTCACCAAACAAACAGATTATAGGGAACTTTTTTCTTGCAATTTTTTCTTGCTTTTAATGATCATGAGGTTTGTAGATTGAAGGTATAAGAGCATTGCTCTTTCGTAACATATAAAATTACCAAGTCGTGTTACATTTTCCCTTCTATTTTTTTTTTCATCAATTTGCTTCTGATTCATGTTTTAACACATATTGAATAATTTCCAAATTAACGGCTGGTTCTTGCAGCCGCGTGAAGAGACTGACTATTCAAGCATCGCAAGTTAATTCAAGGGCCTTAATCACTATATAAGGTTTCCATTTCTAATGCTAATTACTTGCGCTTCTAACTTTCCACTTATTAAGAAAATTTTACTGATTGCAATTGTTAAATATTATTAGGGTGAGAAAGGGATCATCGATCTGAAATGAGCTTTTTATGGAAGCAATTTACCCACTCATTCACCTCAAATTCTTTTTCGTCATAGATTGTTCTGGTACTTGCTCTCTCATTTTTTTTTTCATAGTCACAGCTCCTTAATTCTTCTACTTCTTCATCATACTTTGAACTTCATTCCGTTTTCAGCCTTCAATTCAATGACAAGCTATACGCAAGAAGGTAAGCTAGTTTAGTTTGAGGATGTACGAACTTCAATGGCTGTGAGTAAGCTTGAATGTGGCCAAATTTGGGTAAGAACCGTGAAACTCCAATTCTAATTTTGTCCTCTTTTGAATATAAGAGCGAAAATTGGTGTATTTATACCCTTTTTGTTGTGAATCATGCAAATTAAGTGTCTTTCGAGGTATTATGGGTATTTTCTCGGAATTAGGGTTCAGGGTTGATGAATTTTGTGTTATTAAACTTGATTGTGCCTTCTTTTCGGTCCTTGCTGTAATTTTCTTATCATATACAACAACAACAACAACAACAACAAAGCCTTTTCCCACTAAGTGGGGTCGGCTATATGAATCCTAGAACGCCATTGCGCTCGGTTTTGTGTCATGTCCTCCGTTAGATCCAAGTACTCTAAGTCTTTTCTTAGAGTCTCTTCCAAAGTTTTCCTAGGTCTTCCTCTACCCCTTTGGCCCTGAACCTCTGTCCCGTAGTCACATCTTCGAACCGGAGCGTCAGTCGGCCTTCTTTGCACATGTCCAAATCATCGGAGCCGATTTTCTCTCATCTTTCCTACAATTTCGGCTACTCCTACTTTACCTCGGATATCCTCATTCCCAATCTTATCATTTCTCGTGTGCCCACACATCCCACGAAGCATCCTCATCTCTCCGCTACACCCATTTTGTGTACGTGTTGATGCTTCACGCCCCAACATTCTGTGCCATACAACATCGCTGGCCTTATTGCCGTCCTATAAAATTTTCCCTTGAGCTTCAGTGGCCTACGACGGTCACACAACACGCCGGATGCACTCTTACACTCTTCATCCATCCAGCTCGTATTCTATGGTTGAGATCTCCATCTAATTCTCCGTTCTCTTGCAAGATAGATCCTAGGTAGCGAAAACGATCGCTTTTTGTGATCTTCGCTAGATTGCTCCGGTCATTAGTGTGGATAAGTATATAAATGGATAGAGATAGGAAAGCAAACACAAGATGTACGTGGTTCACCCAGATTGGCTACGTCCACGGAATAGAAGAGTTCTCATTAATTGTGAAGGGTTTACACAAGTACATAGGTTCAAGCTCTCCTTTAGTGAGTACAAGTGAATGATTTAGTACAAATGACATTAGGAAATATTGTGGGAGAATGATCTCGTAATCACGAAACTTCTAAGTATCGGAGTGTGGTGTCGTCTTGACTTGCCTTATCTGTCTCATAGGTAGATGTGGCATCTTCTCTGGAAGTACTCTTCCTCCATCCAGGGGTGGTATCTTTAACTGGTGGAGATGCACAAGGTAATGTATCAATTTCACTTGAAGCTTACTTGTAGTCTCAGGCTTGGTCAAGCGCGATACAAACCATGTAGTAGGAGTCCCCCAAGTCGCCGAGCTAGGGGGTCTGCTGAAAGAGGTGACAGACAAGGTAAGCAATCAGAGCTCCGACTGATTGTTCACCTTCTCCCCATCTTGCAGCAGCATGAAGGATAAAGAGAAGAAAAATGAGAAGAGATGATATGAGATACTTTTGCTTTTGAAGAAGTAACTTTCCACAGGCTTATTCTTGAACTGAGCTGGAGGGTTTTCTGGTTTCCTCCAGAGTATAAGGCCGACTGAAGAATTTGAGGGTCAAAACAAGTCCATCAAATCTAGAGTACGTTCCACCCTGCTGATATGGGATACTTTTGCTTTTGACAGAGTAATGGGTGTATCGGCACGTGTGCTGTTACGCTTGTCTCCACATGCTTCCTTGTATCCTTCGCACTTGCCCTATCTGTTCCTCAAGCAGATGCGGAATCTTCCCTGGAAACATAAGATGTTGAAGATGAGTACTCGAGAGCAATGCCAGGTAAGTAATCAGGTAAGGGGTTCCAGGCAGTCAGTTCCTGGCTGGAAGCTTGATCCAAGTGCTGACTGATTGCTCTCTTTCTCCTTGTCTTGCAGGTAAAAAAACAAGGCCAAAGGAAAAGACAGGGAAAAAGCATGATATGGGATACTCTTGCTTTTAACCCTGATGATATGAGATATTCTTGCTCTAGTATAGCTTGTTTGCAGAGGTATTATCGGGGGGAAAGAAAGCTGAATATTTCGAAAGGCTTCGTCGTTGGGAGTGCCCTCTCAGATATGATGAAAGGTTGAACATTTTTGCAGGTCTGCCTGTCCGTTGGGGATGGAGGTCGACATATATAGGAGTCTCCCTAACAACAAGTAGTAATGCTATTCCTTTACCCTGCTTGGTCATAGCACGGTAGTGGGAGCTGCCAGTTTCACATGTTTTTTAACTCTGTCAGAGCACTTTGAAAAAGTGGTCTGTGGTATCTGGCTCTCGAGATTCGGAGAACGATGCCTTTTCGATTTTTTGAGAAAGCAATCATGCTGGGGTCTGGCTCTCGAGATTCGTAGAGCAGTGTCTCTTCGATTTTTGAGGAAGTAATCATGTTGGGAGTCTGGCTCTCGAGATTCGGAGGGCGGTGCCTCTTCGATTTTGGAGCAAGCAATCCTGTTGGGAGTGTTGTCTCGAATGTGAGTAAAGGTTGGACATGTTTGCTAGTCTACCTTGCCACGAAGCACAAAGGTTGACACACAGAGACTTTCCAATTATCCAGCAATGGTACTGTTCCTTTACCCTCTCTTCGCTTTTGAGAAAGTAGTCATGTTGGGAGTCTGGCTCTCGAGATTCGGAGGACGGTGCCTCTTCGATTTTGGAGCAAGCAATCTTGTTGGGAGTGTTTTCTCGAAAGTGAGTAAAGGTTGGGCATGTTTGCTAGTCTACCTTGCCACGAAGCACAGAGGTTGACACACAGGGACTTTCCAATTATCCAGCAGTGGTACTGTTCCTTTACCCTTGTGGGTAATAATATGGTAGCTAGACCTTCAAAATTTATGTGTCTAAACTTTGTTAGTGCTGTTTCTTTGCTATTCTTTTACCTTTCTTGGTCAGAGCGATGTAGTGGGAGCTGCAAGCTTCACGTGCTCAACTTTGGCAGAGAACTTTGGCAAAGTTATCTGTGGTACCCATGAGCTATTGTTGCGTGTGGGAAGTGGGTGATTGAACAGTAAGATTCATGTGCTTTCTACTTCACCAGAAGTCTTCGACAGAATGCCCATAATTTCTGCAAAGCTGAGTGTGCGTGTGACAGGTGCTGACAAGGCTAGAAAAGTAGGTGCCTCTTCGATTTCTGAGATCGGCCCTCGTGGTCTCTGAGCAGCCCAGCTTTTGAGAAAGCGAGCGCCTCTTCGATTGATTCGGAGAACGATGCCTCATCGATTTTTTGAGAAAGCAATCATGCTGGGGGTCTGGCTCTCGAGGATTCGGGGAGCAGTGTCTCTTCGATTTTTGAGAAAGTAATCACGTTGGGAGTCTGGCTCTCGAGATTCGGAGGGCGGTGCCTCTTCGATTTTGGAGCAAGCAATCTTGTTGGAAGTGTTTTCTCGAATGTGAGTAAAGGTTGGGCATGTTTGCTAGTCTACCTTGCCACGAAGCACAGAGGTTGACACAGGGACTTTCCAATTATCCAGCAATGGTACTGTTCCTTTACCCTCTCTTCGATTTTTTAAGAAAGTAGTCATGTTGGGAGTCTGGCTCTCGAGATTCGGAGGACGGTGCCTCTTCGATTTTGGAGCAAGCAATCTTATTGGGAGTGTTTTCTCGAATGTGAGTAAAGGTTGGGCATGTTTGCTAGTCTACCTTGCCACGAAGCACAGAGGTTGACACACAGGGACTTTCCAATTATCCAGCAATAGTACTGTTCCTTTACCCTTGTGGGTAATAATATGGTAGCTAGACCTTCAAAATTTATGGGTCTAAACTTTGTTAGTGCTGTTTCTTTGCTATTCTTTTACCCTTCTTGGTCAGAGCGATGTAGTGGGAGCTGCAAGCTTCACGTGCTCAACTTTGGCAAAGTTATCTGTGGTACCCATGAGCTATTGTTGCGTGTGGGAAGTGGGTGATTGAACAGTAAGATTCATGTGTTTTCTACTTCCCCAGAAGTCTTCGACAGAATGCCCATAATTTTCTGCAAAGCTGAGTGTGCGTGTGTGACGGGTGCTGACAAGGCTGGAAAAGTAGGTGCCTCTTCGATTTCTGAGATCGGCCCTCGTGGTCTCTGGGGAGCCCAGCTTTTGAGAAAGCGAGCGCCTCTTCGATTTCTGAGATCGGCCTTCGTGGTCTTTGAGAAGCCCAACTTTTGAGAAAGCAAACGCCTCTTCGATTTCTGAGATCAACCCTCGTGATCTCTAAGCAGCCCAGCTTTTGAGAAAGCAAACGCCTCTTCGATTTCTGAGCAGGCGCCTCTTCGATTTCCGAAGCTCCGTCGAGTGCAGATTTTTTATAGAGGCTGGACATTAAGTTCCAAAGCACACTTGAATCTCCACCAGTAGAAGCTTCATTCTTGCACTTCTAAGATCTTGATTTGTCCGACCTCTTCTCTCTTCAACACCTTTGAAAAATGTCTGGCCCCTCCGACCGTCGTTTTGACTTGAACCTTGTTGAAGAGGCAGCCCCGCCTTCTCCAGACAACATATGGCGCCCATCCTTCGTCTCCCCTACTGGTCCTCTTACCGTTGGGGATTCCGTGATGAAGAATGATATGACCGCTGCGGTGGTGGCCAGGAACCTTCTCACTCCCAAAGATAACAGACTACTTTCCAAACGGTCTGATGAGTTAGCTGTTAAGGATTCGTTGGCTCTCAGTGTTCAGTGTGCAGGTTCTGTGTCTAATATGGCCCAACGCCTATTTGCTCGAACCCGCCAAGTTGAATCCTTGGCGGCTGAAGTGATGAGTCTCAAACAGGAGATTAGAGGGCTCAAGCATGAGAATAAATAGTTGCACCGGCTCGCACATGACTATGCTACAAACATGAAGAGGAAGCTTGACCAGATGAAGGAAACTGATGGTCAGGTTTTACTTGATCATCAGAGATTTGTGGGTTTGTTCCAAAGGCATTTATTGCCTTCGTCTTCTGGGGCTGTACCGCGTAATGACGCTCCGAATGATCAACCTCTGATGCCTCCTCCTTCTAGGGTTCTGTCCAGTACTGAGGCTCCAAATGATCCCCCTCTGGTGCCTTCTCTTTCTGGGGCTCTACCGACTGCTGAGACTTCTCCTAAGCAACCTTTGTGAAGGCTCCGTCTTGTGTGTTTATTTTGACTCATGTATATGTACATATTTGTAGCTGATCGGGGATATCAATAAATAAGCTTTCCTTCATTTCAACGTATTGTGTTAAATACCCCAAAGCCTTCTTCGCTAAGTTCTTTGAATTTTCTTTTGTTGAAGCTTGTATGTT